TCGGTCGATGGGTAAAATTGCTCGGATAAAGCGATAAACCAATCATGCCATCGACTACCCGCTACTACGGCTTATAATTATTGAAATTACCTTGAAGCATACGTGCTATAGATTTTGAAAAGAAAGCGTCAAATTTCCCTGTTAAATTGAGGAAACGCCACTGTCCTCGAGCACAGTGCTCGGGTAACGAAACACCCCGACGATAAAGAGCGAGTGCAAGGCGACGCGCCGCAAGAGTAAAAAATACGTGTTTGCCATCATTAGGCGTCTGGCCGCGCGTGCCTCCGTCTTCCCACCCCAATACACGGACCAAGTATATTGTATTCACACCCACGGCGTATAGGAAAGGTAAGGGTCGCCGTCGTGACAGGGTCACCCTCTGACCCATGACCTACTTTTCTCTCTCTCCCTCCAGCGCACGCGCCCATTACGTGGTTATATTTATTATTATTTTTTTTTTTTCGTTCCCTATACGCGTGTACGAGCAAGTACAGTGCGACACGCGTGCTTTTTTTTTGTTTCTTTCCACTTCTCGTTATCTTCGGCGTATAGTGCGCTTGTATGGATACCTTAAAGGTAAGCCCGCGTGGAGTATCGACGGATGGGGCGCTCTGGCTCGATTGATTGATTTTCGAGTTGACGGCTCGAGGCTTACGGTGAATATAATTGACGCGAGCTGTATCTCGTGATGTTGTGCTCCAATGGTCAGATATTACGTGGTGGGCTGTCTTGTTTTTCCTATACCCCGAGCTAACTGGCATCTGTCGTTTTGGAGCCTTGTCTTTCACAATATTCTCTCCCCCTTTTTTTTTTCTCGTTCCCGCGATGTCGAATGGATTACTGCTTGTCTCGTCTCATTAACGGTGGATCTGATTTTTTTTACCACGTACATCATTTGTCGTTTCAATATTACTTACGTTTTTCTCTTGAAAAAAAAAAAAAAGGAAAAACTCGTCAGCGGAATTTTTTCCTTCAAGGGCACAGTCGATCCTACTCTCTGAGAAGAGAAAAAAAAAAAAAAAAAATACACCTGCGTAACAGCAGTCTTTATATGGCTCGCCGGGCCACATATACACACACCTCCTTTTCAATGAGTTGTGTAATCGATAGTCACGGCATTACAAGCGGTTCACCGAGCTCGTACTGCGGGTGACATTGTAAAAGAACCAATACCCACTTTGACGATTATACCCGTGGATATACTTATTGTAATCTCGCAAGCACTAATGGAACCGGGTACAAGTATACGGGCGAGCGTACAACATAAATATACACCTGTGTGTTGTACCTTTCCTCCGATCGAGATTACTTTTGCAGTGGCTAGGTGTTATGCATGATAATGATGGCACTCGCAATTTTTTAAAAGATATTGTCAAGCTTTTGGGGCGCTTGGGTTTTTCATTTTGATGGAAAAAAAAAAAAAAAAAAATACACGCTAATAGTATTGAACCTTTTTTTTTGTTTTCTTTTTCTTTCTCATACAGTCAAAGTTACCAAACAGTCGCGCCTACAAAAAAAACCAAGAGAAAATAAACAACGTTCGGCTGCACAAGCGAAATGATAAACGACGGGTCGCGCTGCCGTGTATATATGTATACCGGCGCACATTTCGGAGGAGCCACGGCGGGTGCATATTTATGGGCAGGGTGGCGTCCTTTGAGCCCTAGTAGCAGCATAAATTTTCGCCTCCATTCGAAAGTGAATTAATGCCCTGTCCTTGTGTGCGCGCCATAGTATACAACAACTTAAACATACATACAGAGAGGGAGGGAGGAAAGGGGGCGTCAAGCGATCCAGCGACGTAGTTTGAGACGCTCGCAGCTACCTAAATCCTTCCACCCTCTCCCCCCCCCCTTCTTTTGGCCTTCGTTCATTATTCGCTTGGCGATAAATGTGCTTTTAGTATAACCCGTGGCTGAGATCATTGTGGCATTACCAGTGCGGTGTGCAAACTTGGGACGAGTTATTTTTCAAACACATAACACTGACGAACACGTATCGTGTCTCACGTCGGCACGGGAACTAACGTAGCCACAAACGATGATTTAGTTTTATCAGTTGTGTACTCGTATCCAATGAGGGGAGGATGTGAAGTAATAAGCTGAAATAAGATTATGAAAAAGTGGTGGTAAGTGTCGCAATTGAGTGAGACGCAAAATAAACTCTGGAAAAATGAAAGCCAAGGCAGTTTGTTGGGAAAGTATATTTGAAATGCGATAGCATTGGGTCGAGAAAAAGTGCATAGGGGGTGGAGTACACAAGCAGGGCAGTGGGGTGCTTTCGGACACCTGTAGCTATATCGACCGGGCCGAGGTCAGCTGATACCCAGATCGAGACTGCCTGGAGCTTCTCCTCTTGCTCCATCCTTTTTATTCAGCCCCCCCCACGTGTGGATGATCGAACTCGGATGTCGGCCTTTCTCTCCCAAGTTGCGTCGGGTAATTAAGCCTTACTTTCAGAATAAAGGGTGGATCAAGTTTTGCAGTGACAAAACGTGTTATTATATCACCCAAAATATAGGCTTTTAATGGTGGACGTGTTGGATTTCCAGTGACCTCATGATTTTGATAAAAAATTGTTGTTGTAAGCGAAAAGTTTCAATGACGAAAGAAAAGCGTATTGGCGGACACTTTTCTGTTTTTCGTCACTAACGCGAGCAAATGAAGAACAAACACGCGATGGGCGTACATCCCTAATTAAACGGCAAGGTATACGTAAAGCGAGACGCGTGAGCCGTAAACACCCCTCCGCGGTGTAAAAATGTTAGCAAGTAAAGTGAGTACGTGCGAAGGAGTGGAAGGAAGAGAGCGGGGGCTCCTAGACGGAGAAGACGTACAGTGGCACGAAGCCACGCAGGACACGCGAAGCCCCTCGTACTCACCTATATATATATATACGTACGTATGGTTGCTCTGCATGATTAAGATGGAAAAAGCAGCTGTTCCGAAAAGAATCAGGTTTATTGTCAGGTGATGTGTTTTTTTTTTTTTTTTTTTTTTTTTTCATTCGATAGAATAGTATTGATACTCGGTGTGTGGGCTATCATCGCACAAGCAACAATACACCTCTGTGATGAACGGTATTAATGCATTAATTTTCATAAAAGTCAACGAGCGTGTTTCAATTTATTTACCGAGTAGAGCTGGAAACGTCAACGTCGAGTATAAGGGAATTTCCGCGATGATTAATCGGCTATATGCGATGTTTGAGTGTATTGGTACAATCGAGGGAAAAAAAAAAGAATATCGTGCCGTGGGTATGTCCAAAGAGATCCCTAGGCTCTCGTTAATCACGCGCCTACGAGTCATGCATCGATTTTTCGGGAAAAATAAAAATCGGGTCTTTTTCTTAATTAATTTTTTTACACTGGAAAATAAAAATAACTTATTGTTAGGTTGACTCTGTCTTTGGGTGGATGTAACAATAAAATACAAAGAGAGAAAAATCGGCCGAGAAAATACCAGGACGTGACTGATTGTACCCACGTGGAGATAATGGCACACGTTTTTTGTAAATGACACAATTTTATGTTTAACACTAGGTTTTCAGAACATTTTTTTTTAGCGAACAGTAATTTTCGACAGATGCAAAACTTCCTTGACGAGGAAACAAACTCAAATAAAAATCGTTAGTCCGACTCTAATAACTTTGCTAAAGTGCCAAAATAATACATGGATTTCAAAATGATGTTTTTTCACAAGTTTTGTCATCCAGACTATTGTTTTACTTATACCACGAAGCGTATACCATCGAAATCCCTCGAGTGGCCAATTTTTGGCTTTTCTCGAAATATAAATAACCATCGATAAGTCCATAGTTGGCTATACATCCCGGGCCCGTGCCTTTCTATACTCGCTTACACGCATGTACTCCCTTATCTCCTTCGCCTTCAGATTTATTGCGATGGGAGTACAAAAAAATGACAAATAACACCCACGCGAGAGAGCCCCACCGCCCCCCCTTTGCCGCCTCAGCGTAGGGTGTACGTCGCATGGATTTGAAATTTCGCTTCGGGGCGTTGAGCTTTGAAAAATAAGCACCCCTAAAAAAAACTCGGCAGTATGCAGAGTTCGCGAGGGGATGATTTTTTTTTTTTTTAAAGGGGTGGGTTGTGGCCTTGGTTGAGCTTTTCGAAGCATGTATTGGGAATTCGGATACGTGTAATTTTTTTGTTGTAAATTGGGAGAGGGAGTTATACGTGTACATGTCAATCGATGCAAATTAAAGGGGCGATCAGTGTACGGTGTATCGATGGAATTTAGGGTATTTCCCCGAAGAAAAAAATGCATTCGTTCCTTTTTTCTTTGCGTTTTGCTGGAAAGCAATTTTTCCAAACCATGAGTTTTTACATCTCCTTTCTCCCCGTTCTCGCTGTTTTTTTTTTTGTTTCCATCCCTATTGTACAGAAACAATAATTTTCACCCGCGAGCGTATACATACTTTTTTAATTATCTTCTCCCGTCATGCGAGAAGGATTTTTTTCTTTTTTTTTTCGTGTACACGCACGCGAGTTGACGATTTTGCTATCATTGCGGTGGCAAAAAAAAAAAGACATGTCCATTACAAGCAGTTATGAAGTAGATACGCATGAAATTTCATAATTCTTAAAGCCGCGCACGAGGGAATATCATCGTTTGCTTTAAACTAGGGAAGGGGAGGGGGGGGGGGAAACAGAGTCTCCGTCATGAAAAATTCAACGAGCTGGTGGCTCGCCAACCTTGAATCTTCGCGGCAAAGGAGACCAGAACAAAAAAAAAAAAAAAAAAGAAAGTCAAGATCGCTGCTCCGAGTTTTAAGAGGCTCGAAAAATCTCCTTGGGGACCATAATATAGGTTGGTCCTCGCGGAGCTTCTAAAAAATACATTTCGTACAGTG